AGTAAATGTTCAGATAATTCTTCTCTATTTTTCCTATAATCTCATTTGAATTGTATTTTCTATTAGTTGGCTTACCTAGCGGATCGAGTTAGGTGCCATCACGACCAATGATTTTTGAGTCGTGACATTTCTATTATATAATCCAAAAAAACTACTCACGCTATTTTTACGAGAAAAGTAGAAAGAGAGAAGTGATATGAAAATCCCTTGGGCTATGAAATGACGGACTTTTACGTAAAAATTGCATGGGGTGCCCTATTTGGTCGCCCTCATTTAACCTATACCAATTCTTTTTAAAAGTTTTAACTTGTACTCACTTTTTAAACAACTCCAGCCTCCTTCTCCTCCTTCGTTTTCTTCTTCTCTTCCTTCTTTCTTCTACTGCTGTTGGTGCTGCTATGAAACTTCAGTTCATGGGATGATTGCTATAAATATGTTTATCAGATTATTTAAAAATAAATTATAAATAATTATGTAAGTTAGTAGACAATAATTTGTGAATATTTTCACGTACGCAAGTTAGTAGACAATGATAATTCTGTTCTTTTCACGTTTATTGTTTCCAAAATTTATGATTTAGATATTGTTGGCAATCTAATTATTTATCTAGTATGTTAGAAAGCTTTTTCAAAAATTTTAGCTTATATAGTGCTGAAGTTTTTACAAATGAACTAAATAACTTCAGCATCTTCTACTGAAGTTGTTGAAAAAGCTTTATGACAAAACTAATGAACCCAGGACAAAAAAACTTCGGCTTTTAGTGCTGAAGTTTTTTACAAATGAACTAAATAACTTCAGCATCTTCTGCTGAAATTTTTTAAAAAACTTATCCAGGACAAAAAAAACTTCAGCTTATTTAGTGCTGAAGTTTTTATAAATGAACTAAATAACTTCAACATCTTCTGCTGAAGTTTTTGAAAAAGCTTAATGACAAAACTAATGAATCCAGGACAAAAAAACTTCAGCAAATAGAGAACAAAACTTCAGCTACTATGCTTAAGTTCAACAATTACAAACCAAAACTTCAGCAAACAGAGAACAAAACTTCAGCTACTATGCTAAAGTTCAGCAATTACAAACAAAAATTTCGGCACACTTGGTTCAGCATACTTGCTACTTCAGGCCCGTCTACTAGAATGCTGAAGTTTTGCGTGATTGCCTTTGCTACTTCAGCCTCGTATGCTGAAGTTACGCGAAAAAGTGGGTACGCTTGCATTTTTTTTTTACAAAGCGGCACAAGTTAAAACGTGACCCAAAAAGCGGGTATAGATGCAAATGCCCCGACTTTTACAAATATATCTAAGCCCATGTTATGACGCCCATTACTGATTATACTATTGGGCTAGAAGCTAAGGTATTTGAGCTAATTGCTAAAATGAGGAAAGCCCAACGTATGATGTGGGATCCAAGTTGAGGAAAAAAGTTAAAACAAGAGTCTAAAGAGAATATAAAGTTTGAAATAACGTAAGTGTATCGTAGTTAGGATACGCTATGAAGTTTCTTAGAACCGGAACTATCCTCCCTTCTTCCATTTTAATTTCTTTGTTTACTAGTTTGGAGTATTTGTAATAATTATGGAGATGAACTTTTACAGCTGTATATATGATTCCCATGTATTTCAATACAATATAGATTCACTGTATTGGTGCTCTCATTGTTCCTACTCCAAATCTCTCTACCCCTCTACCATGTCCAATACTTAATAAAACACCCTCTCTAAATCAGTGATGGCTCAAGAAAGGATTGACAACATTTTAAAATATATTTGTCGAGGTATTTGTTGGGTCCAAACACATATGCAATTATACGTAATCCACAAGTAATAATGTGATAAGAAAGTATCGTTCCCACGAGGATTTATGATCAATTATTGTTCAATCTAAACTATTTATAAATTTATTTATCAAGTAATTGTGAAGAAGGTGATTGTGATTTTTCTTACTACAAAGTTAATAAACAAGCTAATAATTCAAAGGTGAAAAGAAAACAAGCAACCACTTAGAAAGAATTCAATAAGATGGGAATATTCCGGGGTTATGAGATTAATGTTTCTCTTATTGTGTTCTTCTGGCTGATTTAATCACTTGATTTATCTAATTTTTTTGATTAGCAGGGTTTTATGCTCATGAAGTTCTTTCGATGCTTCACTCGCCTATTCAAGTGAACCTAAGACTATATGTCAATAGAATCAAAATTAACGAGAACACATATGTATTTCCTACAAAAATAACCACGTAACGCAACTAGAATATGTCTATCCTAATCGAGAATCTATTCTCTGATGTCCGGATTTAAGAACTTACTCTACTTAATCTTATATTCAATCTATAGTTCCCACTTTCGAGTTCAACTATGAATTCGTAAATAGTATTCTATTGGTAGCTACACAACAAAATAATTAAGTGCAAGATTGAATAAACAAATTAATATGATAAGTCAAGAAAAACAATCAACCGTTAAACTACAAGTGTCAATAATGACCCATAACCCCGGAATAATGAGGTTCTTAGCCACTTATGTTCATGACAATAATCAAAATATTATTTTTAAACACAAAAATCTATGAATACTAAATGAAAGATGGAAAAATCGATGAATTCCATGCTCCGATTATAGTTCTTTGCCTTTTCTCGCCTCTAATATTGACCAACCCCTCAATAATCACGTGTAGGGTGTATTTATAGGTTAGGGTCCGAGTCCCCAAGCCTAAATCCAAGTAGAAAATGTTTAATGCACTGGGGAAAGACCATACCTCAGAGCTTGTGAGGCCCGGTGTGCAACACGCCTTAGAGCAGGCATCGCCCACTCTGTCGCCTAGTGGGTCGTTCCCAAGACTAGGCGTCGGCTGGAAAGGAGCCTGGTTTTGAAACTTGTCCAATTTTTGCCTTTTCGTGCTCTTTTTTTGTATCTTTAACACCCTTGTATGCAATATTTACGGATTTCCATCCCCCATCGCTCCTATACATAAAAATGACACAATTAAGCTCAAACGTCGCACAATTAATTATTAAAATACTAAAATGTAAGGTAAGCAATGCACTAAAAATATACATTTATAGCCAAATATTACTACTTTATACTTAAGCGTTGCTCCTCCTCGAGTCAACCAACAGATTACACTATTCTTAAGCACGTTATATTTACACAATTGAAGTACATTACACTAATTATCACGGCTGATAGCAACAATTAAACTAGAGCATATGCAATCACATACACTTCCCCTTTACTAATTTTTCAAAAGAAATATTCACAAAGAAGACAACATGCTCATAATAATCCTAGCCTCTAAAACTGATTTAATATCACAATGCACTCATGGCTTGAACACTCAATATTACAGAGAAGTCTAATAACGTTACTTATCCCTTGTGAAACCATGTGTCATCACAACAAGAACAAGAGAGTAAGTTGAATCTACACATTCAAATCTCATGCTCAAATATAGTTGAAGGACTCACATATATCAAAGAAATCGCTCACTCTCACAAAGAAGTAGCATGCATGCAATTGAGATCATAGGCTTGCCCATAATGTAAACCTCTACTAATATAGGCCCGCTCGATCTAAAATCAATTAGGATTTTTTCATGATTGTAATGGGGGATAAGGGACGGGTCGGATATATTTAGGAAATAGTGGCTCACCCTCCTGAGCACTTTTGCACATCACCAGATAACTTAAGTGCAAATGCTTCAATTTCACAAATAAGATCACTCCCCAAAAATATGTCCTCTTTCTTTAAGCACTACTTTAATTTATACCCCACTAGAAACAACAAGACAACAATTTATTTATTTATATTTTTCATTCTCTTTTTCCGTTTTTTTTCAACTACTATTTTTTCTTTTATAATATTTGCTAGTGGTGTATTATTTTACAAAATAAGTGCACCCTTCTTTCTTTCATTGGTTCCACTTGAAAACCAGCCAAATTCCATGCTTACTTCTTTTAGCGCTCATTTTACAATTAAAGTGCTTTAAGAGCTAAAATAATCAAAAAGTATCAATCAAGAACAAAGAATATAGGCTGGTAATGTGGGTGCCAAATAAAAGGTCAATAGGTTCAAAAGGGTCAACTGTAAATATTTTTTATTTGTGATAAGCAATTACGATCAAGAAGATCAAAGAAAGCCTAAATTTATTTTTTAAATCGAGCAAAACCTAAAATTTCGCTTCGACTCACATACCGGACAAGTTCTTGACACAAGTACAATGACATAGACTATACAAAAATCTCACCGCACATTGCACATGATTCACTAAGGCCGCTCTCATTACGACTCTCAAACAGTGCAAGTATTCACGGAGTTATAAAATATTAAGCATTAAGCACAAAGTGAACACTAGTCAAGTAAATGAGACGTAGGCGTCACAAGACATGATATCCAATCAAACGAGTCATCATGACAATTTTAACACATACGGAAGATACTACATGCCAAAGCGCCTAAATATGCTACTATCAAACAAGTCAAGGGCACCTAGGAATTATATCATTATTCCTACTTTTATTCCCTAAATTCCTAATCTACTCTAAAAATAAAAAAAAAACTACTATCCGGTTCAAACTATATCCCATGAAAAAGAATCAAGACACAAAAAAAATTACGGGGGATTATTACTACCTAATAGAGAATAAAAGACATATTTTTAGATTTTTCTACTTTTTACTTAGTTTTGTTTTTGTATTTTTGTTAGACTTTAATCCATCAAGAAAACCTCCTAAGAGATCCATCATCGGGAAAAGTCCCAATTTTTTTCTTCTGTATTTTTGCTCTTTTTTTAATTAAGTGCTAAAATTACTAGTAAAATACTACACCATGACAAAAATAAAAATAAAAGCTAAAATCAAAATAAGAAGCTAACATGTTAATATATTACTACTAATTATCTAATAAAAACAAGAAGCTAAGCTAAAATTAATAAACTGCACTAAAATTACGAATTAGCACTAACCTACTATATAAAAAAAAAATAGAATCCCAACTCCATACTTAAATCATGCATTGTCCTCAATGCATATAAAATGATGAAAAACAAGTGAGGTGGTAAGAAAAACTTCATGGTCGCTCCTTGTCATCTCCCTCATGAAAGCCATACCAGCAACTGCCCAATCGGTATCATCATCCCCTGGCTCTGCATCCTCCTTAGTTTCATCCTCATACTTCTCGGGCTCAGCCTATGAACACTCAGGCATGTTAACATCTTTATCATGGGCAATCGCTGGCCCTCACCAAGCCCCGCCAGATTCTGTGAATGGGCATTGAGTGGGAAACGCTCATGTAAATGATCTTTCTCTTCCTCAGTAGCCAGCCTCCCTCCAATCTATAGCTGCAAGTCCAACATCCCATATAAATGTGCCATAAAGCTATCATTACGAGCATTGAGCTCACTATCAGTGAGCACAACCACATCATTCTCTTTCTTAAGCTGGATGCTGGTGATGTTCGTCCCGCGGAAGGGTGCTGGATGACTATATCAAAACTCTTTCTCCTATTCTACCTCCTCCTTTTTCCTCATATATTGAGTCAACATATTTCCAAAGAATAGCCTATCAACCATCTTACTCTTTCTCACCGGCGCCATCCGGTGGCATGTCAAATATCCGAAACTTGTGCCTCCAGTTTCATCTTCTTCTTTGGAAATTTCTTATGGCGGCTAGTCTTTTTGTCACAGACCCAAGTATCCACAGAATTTATACCATATAATATGTGTCTAATCTATCGATACGTCAGGTGGGCAATAAAAATACACAGAGGCTCATTTGGGACATTTGGAGTTCCCAAGTAGTTGCATATAGCGGTTGCCGAAAAGTCAATCAATCTACTGCGAATAGGCGCATACTGATTTGGATCGATCCGGATCATATCCATCATAAAACTCGCGAACTAGGTTCATATTAATATCTCTAGGGTTTCCAAACACAAAGCCTAATCCAAGCTCTTGAACAGACTTCCATATCACCGAATACTTAGCTCATAAGAAGTGCTCATCAACGGCCATATCAAGGTACATATGCTTGGGGCGACAAAGCTTGTACCATGCCTTGGATTTCTCAAGTCCAATTCCCTAAAAAAGTGTTTCCCGTCTATTTATAGTTCCCTGAATTCATTGACAAAAATGCCCTATGGGAAGTTCTGCGGCCGCACAATTCTATGTGACGTCCGCACTCTTCTTGTCTTCTCCAGTTGAATAATTTCTGAAGCCGTAAAATTCCATTTACGGATGCATCAGCTTCTGTGGCCGCACTTTTCTATATGTGGGTGCACTTTGGCAAGGCTTTACACTTGGTCATTTTGCACCTTCTCTGAACTTTTGAAATCTTGTCAGTGCAACCAGGTTTTACACCCGCACAATTTGATATGCAGACCGCACTTGTTAGAAATCCTCTTAGGCTCAGGTATCATCTTTACCGCCGCAAATGTATTTCTGCGGAACACACTTACTTTTGTGGCCGTCGAATTACTTCTACGGACCGCACTTTGGCCTGTTGCACTTCTTCTGGCCTTTATGAGCTGGAACACTCCTTTTGAGTTAGAATTCTTCGTTAAGGTTTTCTTCTTCAACATGCCTGCAATTCGTACAATTTCATTAGTTTTGGGAAAAAGAATCAATACTTTTAGACTAAAACTAAAGCAAGAAGGTACTAATAAGTGGTTAAAATTTACACTTATCAACTCTCCCAAACTTAAGTCTTTGCTTGTGCTCAGAAAAATAAATTAGTTCCCACCTCCTCAAAGAGAAGGATCATTTTAAAGAGTCAATTATAAGCCATTCATACTCAGTTGGACCAACAATTACCCACAATATACTCATGCATTTTCAACAATGTTACAAACCATATGTCATGTGCATATAACTCTAATATGAAACTTGAACTTGAAGAATTGACTTCACTCATCAAGGACTCTTGTTCTATCATGTAGATCATGGTGAACTCCAAACTCTTCCCCATCAACCTTCCATTTTCCATGCTCATTTTAAGAATTAGCACTCAATTTTTCGATCAATGAAAGGTTCACTCTTCTCTCACAAAGGAATATCACAAGTAATACTTCAAGTATCATAGGCTTGCCCTTCATGAAGATCACCACTAATGTAAGCTCACTAAGTTTAAAAGCAAGTAAGACTTTTTTTGGGTTGTAATGAAGGCTTTTGGATTAGGTAAGATACCATATGTGATAAGTGGTTACACCCTTCCTTAAGCACTCCACATTTTCATTTCTTGGCTCACATCTACCAACTCTTAGAGGAATTTCCTTTTCTTGGGGGGATAGAGAGACTTGGAATCACTCTTTATTATTCATTTCATTCTTTTTCTCCTTGATGCTCATACTAGAGACAATTGCCTCTTTTTGATTTCATTAACCTTCTTTTTATTCTCTTTTTGGAATTTTCTTTTTGTTTTTTTCTTTTCCTGCCTTCTCTTTTTATAGATATAATTTCTTCTCTCTTTTTGGTGCCTTGATACATCTTTTAGATTCCTCAACTCTCCCCCCAAACTTATGCCTTGAGCCAGTGTTGAGCAAGGTTCGGCTGCCAAGAGAGGATTACAAACAAAACGGGCAAAGGCTTATAGTATGGTTATCAATAGAGAAACGTTAATGGATCAAAGGGGTTGAATAGGGATAACAAGCATTAGGTGGCAATAGAAATATCAAACGGACCAAGTAAAGCCTACAATCATATTCCAAACCAAGCAAACCTAGAATTTGACCTTGAAACACATTCGGGGCAAGTTCCAGACTATTCACACAAATACTTGGACTAGCAACAAAAATGACCTCACCTCTCTTTCAATTAGACCATGAAAGAGGATAGACTCTAAAGCCTACAACGATCACAATCAAGTTAAAGATCACTATGGTCCATTAAACCACTCAATGATTATTAAAGTCAACTAAAGAATCTCAAAGTCACTAACTAGAGCTACTTTCTTCCAAAAATCTTATTTCAAACCATAAGCACGCAGTTAAGTATGTTGGTGCCAAATGGAGCATGAATAACTTTTTTTAGAGAATGACTTGATTAGGGCTTTTATTCACTACTACTACTACTACTACTACTACTACTACTACTACTACTACTACTACTACTACTATTACTACTACTACTACTACTACTACTACTACTACTACTACTACTACCACTACTACTACCACTACCACTACTACTACCACTACCACTACTACTACCACTACCCTTCCACGACTACCACTACTACTACCAACTACTACCGCTACGACTACTACCGCTACTACTACTACCGCTACTACTACTACCGCTACTACTACTACCGCTACTACTACCACCACCGCTACTACTACCACCACCGCTACTACCACCACCGCTACTACTACCACCGCTACTACTACCACCGCTACTACTACCACCGCTACTACTACCACCACTACTACTACCACCACTACTACTACCACTACTACTACTACCACTACTACTACTACTACTACTACTACCTAAACACAAAAAATAGACTCGTTCCTTTAACAAAGTTATCACAACATCCATCCTTGGGAAGAATCACCCGATTCACACAAAAGATCACCTTTGGAAAGAACAATAGAATTAAGAAAACCAAAGGATTATTATCCACACTACTACGAAAAACATAAAAGCTACTAAAATAAAAAGAAACTACTAATCATAAACAAAATTAAAGTAAACAATAAAGAAGCTAACGAAAGCAATAACTAACTGAAGATAGATAAAATAAAAAGAAACATAATCATCCAATTATTACAATCCATATATATCCAAATGTATTAAATGTATAATCAAATAAACTCCACTCCCCCCCTCCCCCGAATAAAAGTAAGCAATGTCCCCAATGCTTAACAAAATAAGAGTAAAATGAGAGAGGGAGAAGAAACTCCCTAAGCGTCCTTGGACATCTCTGTGTCCCCGGCAACATCAATCTCTGTTAGCTCAGAAAACTGAATATCATCATCATATTTGGGAGTGGCGAGAGTGTGGAACACTGTACGCATTGCGTCAGTAGTGTCGACGACAAGGCATGGATCCTCATATTGGCTAGCTGGATCATCCTGTGCAGATAGATCTGGGGCGGCCTGGGATGGGTCAAGCAGCATAGCAAAGGGAAAACTCCCAGCTGTAGCTAGCTGGGTCACCTTAGCTTAAAGCTTATCCACTAACATCTTGCTGGCTTGAGACTTCCACATCTTCTTGGTCAACCTCTTAGTAACTGAACCATGTTGGACCAATGTGTCCATAATCACGTTCTAGTTGGCCAGAATCTTGCCTAACTTCTCATCAAGCTCAGTGGAATCCTGCAGTGCATGTGTGGATGACTGCCCTTCAACAGTACTAAAAAACTCTGACAGCTTTGAAGTAGCTGCATACATCTAGTTGTTAAGACTCGCTAATATCTGACAGACTCGCAGAGTAGAAAGTGTGCATGTAGGCATAGGCACCAGCTTCAGAATCGGAGTAAGGACAGCCCTATGAGAAGTAGAAGGAACTGTATAAGGAGCTGAAGATGACGACTCGGGGATAGCAACTGCTACATTGGTAGAGGACTCAGCTGATGTAGATGGAATATCAGTTGTATGAGAAACCACTACTACAGGCACATCAAATTGGCCGAAAGTAGTAGAAGGCTGAGGATTCTTCTTCGAGTTGTTTGGATCCTGCAGCTTGTACCATGCAAACGGACCTTTCGGCTTTACCTTTGTATCAAATGGCATGGGCTCTACCTTTGCATCTGTAAGGTACTCTGTAATAGTGTTGGGGTAGTGGTAAGAAGTATTACTTTGCTATGCGACCATAGAAATGTTGGTTGACATTAGGGCACCCACATTGATCGGGTACCCGACAATGATATAATCCACCAAAACAGCATACAGAACAAGCATGTTGTTCTCATTCTGGCTTGGGTCAAGCCTGATACACACAAAGGTTTGCCAACCTTTTGCCTTAAAACTCAATGTGCTCCGGAGAATAGGTACCACAATAGTAATCCATGGTGGAGGTGGTTTTGGTGCCAAAATCTCATCAAGCCATGGCCGAACCTCTTCTTTCAAACCCAGCTTCTATAAGTACTCCTTTGGTTCAAAATCCTCAAATTCTAAGTATGCGTTCAACATGTTCTAATCAAATTTCACCTTGAATTTGCATACTTTGGTCACCTTTGTCCCTTTGCAAATATGTGAAGTGTTGGCATAAAACTCGCGGATAAGGTGCTCTTTGACATACATTAATTTCTCAGTAAATAGCATTCATCCCTTTCTCTACGTGAACTGCTCCAGAAATATGTGATTGTATCTATCAAGATCTTTCAACAAAAATTGTCGCTCATGAGTCAACGACCTTAATGTCTATCTAGAAGCTAGTGAAAGCCAGCAAGCTCACAAATCTATCCTCCCATGCTTCCTTCTTATTTGTCCGATCTACATATGTGGATGTACCTTCTCCCCCTCTCCCATCATTAGGAATATCATGTGAACCAGACCCTGGAGCAGCTGCCTCAGAAGCTTGGCTAGCACTTTCCGAACCCTCGGAAGTGTTGTGAGATGATGAAGGCATATCCAGAGGCTCAGATTGCCTTGTGGCATAGAATGCATAGTTGTGTGCTCCTATGGAATAGATATTGAGTTTCCCTTAGAGGAATCCCTAGACGGGGCATAAAAACTAGACTCATAGAGGTGTGCACCCCTCACTCTACCTGCTGTAGCTTTTTTTTTGTATAGTATTTGGCACACTTAGGGGAAAGGCACCTTTGCCTCGACCCCTTGAAGATTTTCCTCGTCCCTTCGAGGATTCGCTACGTCCTCGTGATCAAATCATTATCTATATCAATACAAAGGGAATTGTCAGTTGCAAATCATAATTCAACCCAATTAATACTCAAGTAAGTAAGAGAGAACACTTTGGAAACAATGGAGCTACAAAAGAAGTGAACATGCTGCAGAAATGGAGAATTATAGTCCGCACTTTTTTGATGTGGGGCAGAAAAATGGGAGTGCGAACTGCATAATTTCATGTGCGGTCACACTTCTAACAAAAAACATCAGAGGCTCAGATACCTCTCTCTGAAAGATAGCTCGATGGCTATTGTGCTGCCGCTGAATTCATCTACGGTCCGCGAAATTAAAATTGATGTCCGTACTTTTTCTTTCTCAAGAGACAAGTCTATGATAGACAGTGCAAACCCAAATTTAGCCTCTCCAGGAATTATGTGGTCCGTGCAATTAAAGTGCGGCCACAAAAGCACTTGCCTTCAACCAATCACCATAATCAATGTAACGACCCGGGTGTTCATTTTGAGTATTTTAGCTTGGATCCCTTTTTATTTACTCCTCTTTGCTATATTGTGGTTATGTAACCTTTCAGGGTGTTTGGCTTTGGTTTCGAGTGAATTTCGAAGTGAAATGAGACACATAGTCAATAAGTTTGAGGTTTAAGTTAAAAGAGTTGACTGTAGTTGCACTTGTATGAAGAAGACTCCGGAATGGAGTTTTGATGGTTTCAATAGCTCTGTATGGTGATTTTTCTCTTAGGACTGTGTTCGGATGTTGATTTGGAGGTCCGTAGGTCATTTCGCCGTGAATTGGCAAAAGTTGGAAAGTTGAATGATTGGACAGTTTGATCGGGAGTTGACTTTATTGATATCGGGATTGGATCCCAATTTCGAAAGTTTGAATATGTGATGACTCAAAATGTCATATTTAAATTAAATAATCATCTAAGTATTTTAAGACCTTGAAAAGTGGTATCAATAATTCCTTGACTTGCATGCGCAGTCCGTATAATTTTCCGGAAGGTTTTTATGTGAAAAATGGATTAAATTGTGAACTAGAGCTTTAAAACTCAATTGAGTTGACTTTGGACAACATTTTGAGCAAACGAACCTGGATAAAAGTTTTGACCATTCCGGTAGTTCCGTATCGTGAATTGGGACTTGGTCATATGCCCGAAAGCGAATTTGGAGGTCCCTAGATTAAATTATCGTCATTTAACGGAATCTAGAAATCTAAGGTTAAAGATTTCTTAGGTTTGACCGGAGAGTTGACTTTTTGATATCGGGGTCGGAATCTAGTTCTAAAAATTTTCATAGCTTTGTTATGTCATTTATGACTTGTTTGCAAAATTTGAAGTCAATCGGACTTGATTTGATAGGTTTTTGCATCAAATATAGTTGGACGTTCTTAGTTTCATTAGGCTTAAATGGGGATGTGATTCACGGTTTTAGCATTATTTGATGCGATTTGAGGTTTCGACTAAGTCCGTATCATATTTTAGGACCTGTTGGTGTATTTTGTTGAAGTCCTGAGGGCCTCAGGTGGATTTCGGAAGGTCAACGGGTAGAAAAAGCTGCTGAAATTCTCTTTGGGAAGCTGCTGCCCTTTTTTTACAGCATCATGTACAGTACCCCGTGAACAGTACCCCATGAACAGTACCATGTACAGTATCCCGTGAACAGTCGTGAACAGTGTCAACACGTGAATAGTACCCAGAATTTTTCTGGACAGAACATTAAGTTCTGAAAATGGGACTTTGTCCCATTTTCCATTTTTAGCGAATTGGTGCTCGGGAAGAGGCGATTTTCGGGAGATTTTTAGAGAAAACAACAGGGTAAGTGTTCTTAACTTAATTTTGGTTAGATTACCCGAATCTATTACTAGTTTTGGCATTTAATTGGTGATTTTAATTGGGAAAATCTTGAAAACCCTCTTGGTTTAATTTGAAGATTTGAGGGTCGAGTTGATGTCGGATTTTAGTAAAATTGGTATGGTTGGACTCGTGGTTGGATGAGGTTTCATATTCCGTAATTTTTGTCAGGTTCCAAGATGTGGACCCCACGTGCGAATTTTTAGTGCAATTTCGGATTTTTAATGGAAAATGTAGAATTTCATATATAATTAATTCCTATAATTTTTATTGACTGAATCGAATTGTTTATGACTAGATTTGGGAATTTCGGGCACGAATTCGTGAGGCAAAGGCTTGTTGGAATTTTGAATTAGTTGCAAAGCAAGGTAAGTGTTTGGTCTAACCTTAGCTTGAGGGATTAGGAGTTGTGTCTTATTTGCTACATGTTAATTGTGGAGTACGACGTATAGGCATGGTGACGAGTATCTATACGTTGGTGTCAAGCATGCCCGTGAGTCTTATATTATAATTGTTATGACTCCGTTGTGGTTTATTGTGCTTCATATGTTATTATTATTATTGTTCCCTTGCCAGGATGTTTGTTTGATATTATTGCCTCCCTTGCCGGGATGTTATTGTTTTGATGTTGTTTCCCTTGCCGTTTATTTGATTGTTGTAC